ATCTCATAAATTTGATAAACCCTTACTTTAATTTCTTATACGTGATAAATTAGGTATAGATTTATTATAAACTATTATTGCTATTCGATTAAGGGTATTATTAACTTTAACTCGATCAAACACGTAGTTCTTGTGTGTTCGACACTTTACACATTCTACATTACCTGATCACGTCTCCGTTCACTTGCGGAAAATCAAACGATCAAATAGCTTTTAGCTTTATAAAGAAGTATTGTCTTTTCAGGTACTTTACATTAAAATTTGGATGAATAGTGTTTTTTTTTTTTTTTTTTAAATTTTAGAAATTGTATTAAGAATGTATTTAGAGTGGGTTGAATATAGGGTTGGACATGTCCGAATTGAATCGAACCCAAAATTTTGGATATTTAATAAATATAACTGTTGAGTCCAAATTTAATTATGAAATCGTTTGGTTCGGTTCGGTTTGGTTCCATTCGATTTTCAGGTTCAATAGAATAATTAAATTTGTTGATATTTAGAACAATGCAATATTAATTTAACTAATGACATATTCAATTTTAGCTCTTTCAAAGTAACGTAATCAAAACCCGTAATATATTTTACGCCTCTTTTTGTTGAGTTTTTCATAATTTTGACTGTTAAAATTATAGGAAGAGGAAGATAGCGAACTCTCAATAATAAAGAGAGACTTCCAATTTGATTTCTCCAAACAGAAACGGCACTACGATAGAATAAGAAATTTGCATAAAATTTAGGCCAGTTTGATAAATTGGACTTAGGCTGGAAATTAGAAAAAGGAAAATCATATTTGGGGTTTGGGTTAAATTAAAAAAAATAAAATAAAATTTCTTATTTAAGATAAAAAAAAATTAGGGATATTTGGTTCTTTGATTCTTGGTCTGAAATCGAGAATCGAACCGAACATGTAGATTTTCGGTTAAGATACTCGTTCGAGTATTTAACTTAAAAAGAATCACTCAATTCGATTTAGTTCGGTTCGGGTCTGATTTGAAAGTTTTGTCTAGCCCAAGTTGAATATAAAATTTGTGCGTTTCTATAATATTTAAATGAATTAATTTAACAAGGACANAGAATCACTCAATTCGATTTAGTTCGGTTCGGGTCTGATTTGAAAGTTTTGTCTAGCACAAGTTTAATATAATATTTGTGCGTTTCTATAATATTTATATGAATTAATTTAACAAGGACAAGATTGGAATTTGAAGTGGATGAAAATAGTAATTTTTTTAAATTTTAATAGGAATGAATATTGAGTGGGATGAATATATAACAATTATAAATGTAAATAGCAGTATCTACTTTAATGTGCTAAGTTATTTCTCTATCTTGTCTAGTTTTTCTTTGTTAGACGTATGTCTCGGTGCACTGAATGTTGAAGCAAGAGAAAGTTCTTAATTCTAATGTAATTCATAATATGGGCACTAGTGTAGTGTCTAGATACAATGAATGTATGCAAGCAATGTGAAAAATAATAATACTTCATTGACAACTCAAATTACCATGGGAAAATATTATGAGATTTTGACACATTAAAATGATGGCTTAAATTTTGAGTATTAGATCGGATTAAATAGTGTAACGAACAAAATCTAAATCTATTTTGATAATTATCTAGTATTATCTTATCTTCTCTATTAGATATATCATATGGGGGCGATGGGTTGGCCTTATTCATGTAGCATGATTCAGTTATTAGTGCCTCGTGCAAGAGATGGCGAAGGTGATGAGTAATTATAAAATTTGAAATTTCATCTTAAAGGTCAACATTTTTAAAAAGAGTAGTTCAACGTCGTATATGTTGGTTATTTGCTTTATAATTTTTCGATAAGAAAAAAAAAACCCTTAACGTTCTGCAATATTGTAATTTGTCTCTTATACCTGTTTTCGAGTCTTGGAAGAATTGATCGTTTGAGTTTAATGAACTTTATTATCATATTAAGCCCTATTTGGTTCAACTAAAATTTTAAATTAAAATTTAAGTTAAAATTAAACAATTAATTTTAAACACACATCTTCTATATATTAAAAGTGGTTATGTAACGGAATTCTTGTTTTTAACGGAAAAACTAACGGAATTTGTTGTTTTAACGGATTATGTAACGGAATTTCTTGTTTTAAACAGGCAGCTGCACTTTTTTTCAGTGTTTTTATCATAACTTCATATTCGAATGCCCGATTGAAGCGATT